GTATTTATCATACTCATGGGCAATCAGGGCTCTCGTCTAATTCTCAATCTCCGAGCTACTGCATCCAAGAACATATCACAGAGCTCCACCTGGAAACAAACTCTTGAGCTTCAAACTTTTGTAGCAGCTGCTCCCACTCACACTGAACAAAGTGTGGAGCACTTTGATATGTAATAAAGATGAACTATCAATAATACCTCCTGTGTTCTTTCAATCACGTCAGAAGCCTTTTCTGAAGTATAATATTTATCTAATTGAAGTTGAACATTGGCAAATTAGCAAGGTCCCAGAGATCACTGCCCAACGGTCCACAATGCTCTAACTTCCTTGACCAATGTACAACACTCCAAGCTCCTATTGTAATATCTCCCTTCCCATCGAGACCTGTTCCCTTGTAATGACATTGACGGAAATGATACTTTGAAACCGTACAAAAATTGTGCCAGATGCTGAAGAAAACAATCAAATCTTGTTGAAGTTAGCGGATAAAGAAGTTGGAGAGGAATGTGTACATTCTCAAATTGAAGGTAAGATACAGGGAGCAGTGCATCACCATTGAACGGAACGAATCTCCTACATATATTGAAAAGTAATGCCTCGCAAGGAGGTTGAGGCTACCAACAGACACACATCCAATCCTTCTGACATTCCCAAAATGCTCCTCCCCCTCTGTCTTTTCCTGAGCCCCCAGTATCGCCCTCACTTGAACCACCGTGACTTTCCACGATGCTCTCAACAACCACCAACTCTGTCCGATTCCCTTCGTCCGGTCTCTGTCGAATTTTCACCTTCGACCCTCTTCTAGGTCCGTAAAGGATGACGGCAGTGGAATCTTGATAAGAGGGATAGACGGGTACAAGGTACTTCATTGGGAACGAGCGTTCGTTGGCATCCGAAGGGTTGTCAGAGGAAGAGGCGGCGTCACTAGACGTCGACGCAGGAACCTTTCCCTCAATTTTAACGAGCGCGGTCTGTTCGAAGTTCTCCCCAACTTTGGTTGCGGCCAAGACCCTTGCGTGCAACCCATCGTATACACCGTCGAGGTACTTGTCGCGTTTGGTTCCGGTGATACGCACGCGCAGGAGTGAGAGATGAGATGAGAGACCTGGATCGGTGAGCCAGGCTGGAGAGGGTACTGGAAAAAGGTATGTTAGCACATATAGAAGGCATATGGGGATCAAAAGGGAGAAAGGAGAATAGGTATAAAAGTGGATGAGAGGATATATGCAATGACATTGAAGACTTACCGTATTCATCCCGTGTGAACTGATCCATGAAAGCCCTCGACTTCATCATCTCGAACATCTCAGGAGGCATAATTGCAGGCGTCGGTGCGAAATTGCCGTATTCTGAATACATAGGGTCCATTATGGCTGGGGTCGATCCAAAGCCTGGGTTTGCGTAACCATTGATCAGATGAAGGAAGCCTGGTGTTGAAGGGATAGCTGGAGTGGGGGCATATGCGGAAGGAGTAGGAGCGGCAAATGCAGGTGTGGGAGCGTTCTATAAGGAGAAAGGGACAAGTCGTGGTCAGAAACAGGATATGAACATGATTGTGTCAGAAAGACGAGGGTGAGTTCGTTTGTGATAATGGGATTCATGAAGTGGGTCGGAAGACAACGGGGTAAGAAGATGAAAGTGTGGAAAAGAGAGCAACAGTACACCGAATATTGGGCAGGTAACAGACGTCTTAATGAAAACAGCAATGATTGTCGATAAAAAGACTGAAAGATCGAAAAGGAAAAATGAAAACTGCGATAACTCACCCAACTACTGTCAGAACCCCACCCACCTACACCTGACCCACTCCCTGCTGGCGTTGGCGAACCCCACCCACCTCCTCCATCTCCATCCTTATCCTTATCCCTATCGTTATCAGAACCCCAACGTCCGGGAGTAGCTCCTCCCCAAATACCCGTGCCCGAACTTGAGCTGTTGTTCTTGTTCGCATACGGATTCGGCGTCCGCCCTCCCCCTCCAACATTCCACGCAGACGAGCTTCCTCCTCCCTGCGCGTACGGATTAGGCGTTTTACTCCCAACGTTCCACGCAGGAGTCTGATTCCCGGCTGAATATGGGTTAGGCGTTTTGGAACCAGTGTTCCACGCGGGTGTTTGACCGCCGTTTTGAGCGTAGGGGTTTGGTGTTCGTCCACTGCCTGCACCGAAGGGTGTGCGACCACCTGAGCCGCCTGCACCGAAGGGGGTACGCCCGCCGCCACCGCTGCCGCCCCAACCGGGAGTACGACCACCGGAAGCATTTCCCCAGCCTGGTGTGCGATTTCCAGAACCATCGAAACCGGAGAAGGATTTTGAGGGTGGACCCATAGAGGAGTAAGAGCCGTTGGTGGGTTGACGCCGCCAGTTGGCACCTGGGCCTTCTACTGGTTCGGTTGTCCCATTGGGCCTATTTGAAACCAGGGCAGTAGTTAGATACACAGTGCAGATATGATTAACAGGATAGAGAAACAGGAAAAACAGGCTCACAACTTCCGATGCAACTTTCCCTTTTCGATACTGATCATCTTGTTTCCCGTGTTTAACTCGACTCTCGCTATCCCAGTGAGCCCTACCCCATTCGTATCCTTGACGATCCCAACATATCCTTTGTGAGGACCTTTGATAACGACAACGTGAGCGCCGATAAGCCGGTCTTTGGGGCCTCGTCCGATAGCTGAGCCTACTAGCCCTCCTCCACCATTAGCGTTTGTATTGGTGTTCAGAGGACCAAGACCTTGAGCGCCACCTGCAGCAGCAGGGTTCATCTTTGTCAAATCCGCTCCTGGTGGAAGTTTCCCACCCAAGGTACCCTTGGGTGTCGTCGATACGAGCCCTCTCGCTCTTGTAACAAACACTCCTCCGTTCTCTGTATAGTCCCTGTTGAACAAGAACGCATAGTGGGACTGGTGTATGTGCAGAACACGTCCTTTGCGCTGTTCCCCTTCGGCTTCTTTCATCATATCCCCCACGCGAATCTCGAACCCCTGAGAATCGGTGGCGATAGAATGGAGGGAGGTGCTTTTGTCGGATTTTTTGAGGGAGATTTGGTGTGGCTGGACGAGACGGGATTGGGAGTGTTGGGTGAGGATAAGGAATGAGGATTGGTGGGTTTTGTAGATTACGCCGACGGTTTCGAGGCTGAAGAGTTAAGTAGTTAGCGAAGCTCTTATTTGTATGCAATCGGAAGACTTACTCCAATTGAACAAGATCGTGTAGCTCGTATTCGCCTACGACGTTTGTTGTGTTCCCTACCTCCGCAGCTTCACGCAGGTCTTTTGAGAACACAGAAATCTCTTGCATGGACATGTCTGAGATGAACGTGACGATAGTGTTTTCATTCATCGCACCCCCATTTTCATTATCCGAGTTTCTGTTATTCGAGTGCGAGTCGGAAACAGAAACGACGAGACCAGTCTCCCCGATGTTTTTACCCTGCATCACTTTAACATGGTCTCCTGCTTTGAATCGTTTTCGAACCGACCGAGCAGGCAAGTCGATTTTCTGGGAATGTAAGGAGGGGTCAAGTGCGATGATGGTGAGGGTATCGCCGTGGATTTCTTGGACGGTACCATGTAGGCCGGCTTGTTCGCCTTGGAACACCTCGACATGGTCTCCTGGTTGGAGAACAGCCAACGCAGCCTTGCGAGAAGCTTCTGCGATGATCGAAAGGTCGACCATGCTTTCTTCAAGGTTGTTTGCGTTATTGGAAAACATAGTGATTTCATCGAGAGTAGGGTTGACATCTTCAAGAATGATGGAGTTGAGCTTGATGTCCTTTTCGATGAACCCATCTTTATATGTGTCACCGAGAAAGACGTAGGCTTGGCCCCTTTTGGATACAGTATTTCGACCGTAAACTTTGATCACTTCTTCAAAGTTAAACAAACGTTGGGGCGGACGAGAAGTGGAAGTGGGATTCATAGCGCTGGCGGAAGTGGTGGCGGCAGAAGGGGTCTTCTTGCGCTTGCGACCGCCTCCATCGTCTTCGCGGGGGTTGAGATCGATACGGGGAACGAACCGGACGCCAACTTCTTCACCGTTCTCGGTAACGTCGACAACCTGAGCGAGGTCTCCGGCGTACTTGCCTCTCTTCAGCCTCACCCAGGTACCCGGAACGACCTTTTCGCCTCCATCGACTTTTTTGATCATCAGCAACAAAGCCATTTCGTCTATAGGGACCAGATGTATTCCTCTGGAAGGATAGACACCCACCAAGCCATTACAGGCCTGGTTGACTTGTTGCGCGGACCTAGCTTCGACGTAAATCATACCAGGCAGCGAATCTCGCTGGAAGGCAGAGAAAATGGAGAGTGGTTTGGAGGTGTACTCGAGATCGAGTGATTTTCGCATGAGAGAGAAGACAATCTCGCGTTCACGACCTGGTTTGACGCGGACTTGCCATAGGGAAGCGTCGTGGACGGAAGGCATCAACAACCTCTGCGGAATCTCACTCATCTCCCCTGTAAACCGTCGATGGGAACCAAAGCCGGACCCTCGACCATACCTATCCGCAAGTTCCCTAGCAATCTCCTCTGCAGACTTCTCTGTCCGATTCTCCTCTTGCAGCCGACGTTTGTCGACGCGAGCATGGTGTAAACCGGCTATATCGTCCTCGTCTTGGTCAGAGTCTGCGTGAGCACCTTCTTTGGTGATGAAGCCAGCTTCTCCATCGGATGAGAGGTCCTCTTCTTCCTCTTCTTCGTCGGACACTTCAGCTTCAATATCAAGGAAACGAGAGAGAGCATCTCGTTTATGACGATGTTTGGCCCGTTTAGGTTTTCTTCTGTTTCCATCATCTTCTGCGGCGGCCTCTTCCTCCTGTTCGGAGCCTTCGTTTTCTGAATCGTCGTCTTCGTCGTCATCGTAGAGTTTGCGACGTGGCGGTGAGTCCTCGTTATCGGACATGGTGAGGGTAATGGAAGAAGAGAGGATGCGGGGACTTGGAGAGTCCGACAAACCATCAGCACATAATATGACTCATCACAGCACAAAATAATATATGGTCCAATAGTGTAGAGGTTATCACATGGGATTCTGATGAGCTCGCCTTTGACAGTGGGATTTCCCATGACCCAGGTTCGAGTCCTGGTTGGACCTTTTTGCTTTTTACTTTGTTAGAAATTAAATGGTCCTTGACTGGAAGTTGTTTTCTTGAGCAAAGGTCTACATAACGTCTAACGTCTCCTGTTCACGTTCAGCATCGATATCTTGCCTCACTAGAACAAGAATCATGGTTTTACAACAATAAGTGGTGAAGCAACATAAATTCCCACAATCCACTTTCTCTTCTCTTCTCCTTCATGCCGTTGAAGCTCAAAGGCGCATCGACGCCTCCCACAGATCCTTTCTCTTGGGATGATCTACCCTCACCTTCTCCGCCACCGCCAGAAGTTTCCTCTCTGACCGAACCTACGACAGTATGGCTGCCAGCAAAGGACATGAAGATATTTGGTGCTCGCCCGTTATCATCCACGTCCGAAATTGGCATGGTGAGATGCAAGGATTGCGATAAGCCGATATTGAAAAGTGCCGCAATCGAACATGCTGGTGCGTTATGCATTCACAGTGCTGCAGAATCAGCTTAGTCATTCCTACTACAGCAAACTGTGCCCAGATCCGGAACATTGCCATCGTAGCCCAGGCGAAGAAACGGAAAGCTTCCCCTTCATCAGCTTCTCTTCCTGGTGAACCGTCCGCAAAGAAATCCAAGAAATCTGCTATACCCAAGATCACTAAAGGTCGACTGAAAGGTCCAGTTGACTACGACAAGCAATGTGGCGTCATCAACGACAAAGGCCTTCCCTGTTCTCGCTCACTGACCTGTAAATCTCATGCGATGGGTGCAAAGCGTGGTGTACAAGGCCGGAGCAGACCTTACGATGAACTCTTGCTGGATTGGCAACGCGAGCACAATCCAAATTTCGTCGAGCCTGTGAAGAGAGAGACGAAGAAGGAGAAGAAGGAGAAAAAGGATAGAGAGAAGGCGGAGCGGAAGAGAGCAATTGAAGAAGCTGCGGTCAAGCTCGGTTTGGATCCTAGTAGCAAGGAGGGCAGGAAGGCCGGCGCTGCAGCTACTGGTCATGTCATAACCACCTCGTCCAAACACGGACAATCCAAACGCGCTCAGGCGGCGGCGGCAGCGGCAGCTGCAGCCTCTGCCAACACGCATGACGATGCGGATAACGAGAACTATGATGATCTCGACTCGGAAGCCGAAGTAGATGACTTGGTCGGTGCTGTGAGACAGGCCAGGTCACTTGGGGTCATTGCACAGCCGCTAGCAGTCCCTGCTGATGCTGGGAGCTGGTTCGTCGAAAGGAGAGAGCGATACCGGCTGGCATACCATATGATTGGTGTCGCATTGAACCCGACAAAGATGTCGACTAGGCGGACCTTTACCTGAACGGACCTAGACTGGATGATTGGACCTTCTTGAAAATCACGTACGGACTACCTGGAACGCGTTTGGCCATGATTATAGGATGGTAACTTATTCACAACTGTACCCATAACACGACTACTACATCGAATTCTACGCAAGATTTCATCTAACTTTCTTTCCCGTTCGCGTCTTCGGTTTTGCGTGACAAACAAGCATAACTATTCTCATCTCCATCAAAAGTCTTGCTCCAACCTTCCCGTCATTTCCCATCGATGATTCGAACATTCGGCTCGATGTATTCCTCTATGAAATTTCGTACTCCAGAGTTTCATCTTAGATACTTTCGAGCGCAACGAGATTTTGATTTTCTCTTCCCCTGATATACTAGCGTTGATCGACTGATAACACAGGATTTTAGAGACTGGTGTCTACTCGGCTGATTGCTGACTGCACTAATTGTTCGCACTAAAATCGCACAACAACGAGTATTCCCGCTCACGGCTAGTTTCGTGACTCCGAAACCAGTGGAAATTCTAGGGTACACCCTCACTCTTGAAGCCCAGATGCAAATGACCGAACTTCTCGGTTTGCTAGGTGTGGGCCTATGGCTATGTCGCAGGTGCGGGTATCCCTGGTAGTTTTCTATCTTCCGGAGGGCGTACTCGCCGTGGCTATAACTGCCACCGTTTCCGTGTTCTAATCTTCGGTTTGCTCGGCGTGTCCAATGGCTATGTGCTGCCTGCGGGTATCATGGACATGCCAATGGCTGTCAATGATTGCTGTCTCCTGTCGAGCGCCATACCTCAAGTATGATTCGTAGAGGGCGCGATGTACTACTTCACCTCTGACTTGACAGCCAACTCTACTACGAGATCGCGGAAACAGCCATCCGTCTCAGACGTCATCGACGACTCTAGTCAAGTTTCGGCAGCTACAAAACGGATTCTCTACTGGTGACCATCAAATTATCGCGGTGGGTTATGTTTCAATCCATCATAGAGAAAGCTGAATGAGTGAATAGGAACCGAGTATCGAACTGTACCTGCAATGCAGTAGAGAGTCTTCATGGATCAAAGATGGCATATTGACCATTCACAGAGTATCACTTTGAATTAAGACATCAAAATCGAAAGGAGTTTCAGTTTTCACTCTCTTCCCGGTGTGTGTATCTCTTGTACTTTGCATTCAGTATGGCCGACAATTCCTTTCAATTAGGCGCTTGTTTTTTGAGCCTGGAATAAAAGCACCACAAACTCGACTTCCAGTTCCCCTCAAGTTCAGCTGGTCTAACTTTCCGTTCTCTACACAGTGCTGGTCATTTGTGTTATACTTGTTCATTTTCTCCGCTGTTATATTCATTTTTCTCCTACAAGTTTATTATGCCTAGACTCTGTTCTACTCTTGCTGTTGCCGTCATTGCGTTGGCTGCCGTTAGCACTGTTGACGCTTCGAGGTACTGGGACTCCTACACTCTGAAGACAAAATGGGATGTACTGATTGATCGTCTCTGCAGCCCTGCGATGTCGAACGAGCACGTATACTCCAGACATTTCGCTCGTCACTATCCCGTCCCACGCCATACCAACAAGCACGACGTAGCAGTTACCGGAATCGAAACTGCTGGAAAGGTGGCCATCGCCGGAGAGGAAGCTCAAGCTTCCAATCCCGAGAGACGAAGTGATATCGTCAACAACGTTCGAACGATTGGGGATCATTCCGAATTCCATGAGGGGTTTGTCATTCCCCCGCCCCCTGGAGCGAATGAGGCAATCAAGAAAGCTGGTCAGTTCATATTTCATGTATTACTATACTTATCGACCGAAATCTGACTAACATGTACTCCCTCCTAGTTTCAGTTGATGGCCGGTCCCTGGTCGATGTCACAGAGGCTTTCTCAGGCCGCTCTCTTGAGTCGGACCCTGAATTGGGCAAGTGCCCACTGTTCTCTAAATATCAAACAAAAGGGCTTACGCATTGTCACAGTCGGTAGAAACTTCTTGACCAAAGCAGCGTCTAAACTCCTTCACCACGGAGCTAAACACGCGGGCGATGTCGCTGATGGTGCCTCCGCCGTGGATACAGCCTCAGAACCTGTTCAGACCCGTTCTCTTTCGGACTCTGACCCTGAGTTGGGCAAGTCCTCACTTTCATTTACATATGAATCGAAAGGGCTCACGAATGTTACAGTCAGTAGAAACTTTTTGACGAAAGCAGCGTCCAAGCTCCTCCACCACGGAGCTAAACACGCGGGCGATGTCGCTGACGGTGCCTCCGCCGTGGATACAGCCTCAGAACCTGTTCAGACACGTTCTCTGTCGGACTCTGACCCTGAGTTAGGCAAGTCCTCACACTTCTCTGTATATGGAGCGAAAGAGCTTACGCATATTACAGTCAGTCGAAACTTTTTAACGAAAGCAGCGTCGAAACTCCTCCACCATGGGGCTAAACACACGGACGATGTCGCGGACGGTGCCTCCGCAGTGGATACAGCTGCTGATCCCGTTGAGAGTCGTTCTCTTTCTGATCCTGACTATGGTATTTGTGGTTTCTCCATATTCGAGGGTGGCACTCAGTTAACTTCTGTCTAGTTTCTCTCAATAGAAGGACGAGAAAGAAGAAGACAGGAGCAAAGGCAAAGGCTGCTCCTGCTCCGAAGGCTGATGAAGAACACAAGGAGAAGCCTAAGGAAGCTCCTAAAGAGAAAGCTAAAGAGGAGCCGCCTAAACCGAAAACCGAACCGGAGCACAAGGAGGAACATCCGCCCGCCAGTCCGCCAAAAGAGGAAACGAAGCCCGCGCCTAATGAAGGCACTACGAGCACTGGTACCAACAAGCATGATGTAGCAGTCGCAGGACTCACGGCTGCTGGGAATGCTGCTGTGGCTTTTGCTGGTATGCATGGGTCTGATTCCACTCCTATGATGGACACATCGAGCCCGGATACGTCGGCTCCGGCATAATTTTTAAGATAGCATTGGAAAGAGAACACATGTAGTAGCATCTCGAATGAAGATTCAATCCTCCCGTTCCCAGGCTTCAATGTCTGAGTCACTCTCAACACAGAGTACACGATTTGGATTCGGTCGATCCTCTTCAGAGGTCGCGTTCGTGACTCAGTCAAGCTCCGCATCGCGCTACTAGTAGTAGTAGTATGACCCAGCGACTATGATATTACTCAGACTTGCTTAATTGGGTTTCAAATCGACGCTCATTGCTCTACTATCTTCTACTATGCCTTGAGAATCTCTAAATTAAAGTCATGGATCTCGTTTCACCTTTGCCATTGCATGAGTCCGGCAGCAAATTTATATTCCTTCTTCAAGTCACCCCCAAACAGCCTCAGCTGCATTTATTCATACCCGACAGTAAATAAGTACATAGTTGCTTGACTCTGTTCGTGTCACCGTGATTGGCTTATGTCGAAGGATCCACGTTGACGTGAAGCATGAGTCATGGTATGCGTACTCTCACCCCGTTCCAAATACGAATCTACGATACTTTTCTACTTCATTTTGGTTGGTTCCGTACTCACCGCTTTTCTGCACCAAATGCTTAACATATATTCCTGATGCGTATCTCCTTACCATCTGCCACGGTGATGGAGTCAAAGCCTACTAGTTGCCCTTACCTCAAGTCAGTTGCCACTGACATTCATTGTTCAAGAATCAGTTAACGATCCTCATAATCGCAACTTGGTTCTTCCCATGATTCAATTT